AGGCTCATAAGAAAGAAGAGATGGGAATTGCGATGTTCATGAAGCCAAAAGCTAGAAAATTAGACTGAAGAATGCTTGTGATTACCGAAACTGAGACTGCAAAGTTCTGTTTAAGTGAATTATGATTTATGGGATAACAGATAAAGAAAGATTTCACCACCACCACCTGTAAAATTGCATTGGTTTTTATCAAGTAGCTCCTGTTGAGCCCATCTAGTTGATGAACATTCTTATCAAGTAGCAAATATAAATGACTTACGGGGATAATATTTCAATATATAATGACATTGCTATATCTCTGATTCTTTTAAGATCTGGGTTATTAAATATTAAATATCAAAGCTGTAAATTATTGTAGCAGCTTTATACAACTAAATTAAATTCAAACAAAACCTAATTTCCTTAATCATTGACTGTAATCCTCCAGGAACATATGCTATTAACTCAGCTACAAATGGCACAGAAATTGTATGACTTCAGTTAAGTTATTTTATATCAAATTCTAATCCAGGGCAGAGTCCTCAGTAAATCTCCTGCAGGGATTTTAATGCTTCTGCAATCATATTGGTGCTTTACTGGAGAGCTAATCTTTTTATATTCTGTTTTTTCACTCCTTTATCCATTTCCTTCACACCCTTACTGAGCTACAGCTAGTACCTTCTGTCACAGATCATGTTTTGAAAGATCTGGCTTTCCCCCCTTGCATTTGATTGGTGAGAGTCAGGCTCTCACTTATGACAGAATCAGATAGTTTTGGCTTTTTTTTTTGTTTCACATATAAAACTGAATCATTCCCATTAATTTCAACATATATGTTAATTGCCACTTGTTGTAAATTCTCTATATGGCTGTCCTAATTATTCACAGTTTGCAGTCAAGCATTCAGAAAACAACGATTTCCTCTTTAAGAACCCTAATTGAAGTAAAATTAAGCAAACTTAATTTAAGCAAGAATCTTCCTCAGAGACTCAACACAATGATCAGATAATAAAGAAATAAACCTTAGAGCCCTAGGAGGTAAGACTTGGAGAAACCTCCAGAGATCTTCGAGTCAGCCCTCTGCCCCACAGCATGATCAACTAAACTGCTGTCATTCCTGACAAATGTTTCCCTAATCTGTGTTTAAAAGCCTGCAACAATGGAGATTTGACATCTCTCTGTGTAATCTATTACAGTACTTCACCATCCTTCCTAGCAAGATATGTCTCCAGACATCTAATTGCAATCTTTCTTGCTGTTTAAGCCTTTTACTTCCTTCCCTATGCTTTAGGACTGGGAAACAGGCTATTCCTGGCCTCCCTGCAACAGCTTCGTGAACACTTGGCCACTTCCATCTCTCCTCAGTTTTCTCTAAACTAACAGCACCCCCTTTTTCCTTCCTCAGCAGTCTTGTTTTCTAGACAGTCTATCACATCTGTTCTGGCTTGGAAATGCACCACCTGAAATAAGGTAGTTTAGTCTCTCCCAGCATCAACGATGGAGGAACTAATAGCTCAAATCTGGCATATTACAGGTCTGCTAATACATCCCAGTGTGCATCCTTCATAGCAGAACAATATTGCTGACTGGCATTGAATTTATGACCCATTCTCAGCTACTTGCTTAATACCCTATAATTATTTCTTTATGAATACTGTAAATCAAATCTTCAAAGACTCTTGAAGATGGCCAGTAGCCACTATTCCAGATTTCACTACCAAAACATTCCAGTTTGTAAGTAAGCAATAAAAATGAATTCTGAGACAGCCTCCTTTGTTCATAGCTCCCACCAGTACTACGCAAAACAAAATGAAAAACCTATAACCAAAAAAACCAACCAAACCACCCCACCACAAAAAAAACCACTGGTGCACATAACCAGCAAAGCTCCCAGAACTTCTGTACTGGAATTCCTCCTCACAGGATTTCCAGCCCCTGTGCTCCTGTCCAAACTGAAGTCTTCTAGGTGTTTGAGCAAGGCTCTTGATTCTATAAGCACTGCAACCTAATAAGGATGTCACTTTCACTATTTAAAAATGAACCATTTGTTTATGCAATTTATTCATTTCCTACCATAGAAGCACTCTGCACTTCTCCACGGGATTCTCCCTCATTGACCAAAAGTCACTTACACTTCAGGTAAGGCCTTCCCAAGTGGAAGTCAGCTGACACCTTGCAGGTTTCAGTTCTGTATTTATGTGCTAATATGACCATACATTTAGCAACAGCATGGTACCATTAATTAGCATTCAAATTGTGATCCATCTCCAGCCCTAGGTTCTTCTTGGGAATTGGTGCAATTTTTAACGTTTATGGGGTCTGTGTAGCAAAATCAGCATAGTGGCTCAGCTCAGAAGCAGAAATACATGTGCAGACACTCTGTGGCACAGCTTTTTGGAGTGCCAGATTTTATATTCCCATAGAAGGTCACTGGTAGTGAGGGCACAGTAAGGTTTAAGATTTCCCAAATGCATAAGACATGCTGCAGTTAACTATTACATGGAAGAGACATGTAGTAGGTCCTGACAAGTTGTCTTGAATGAAAATTCCACACCATCATGTTCAGGATTTGCCAGAATATGGAAGCTCATCTGGAAGAATATCTCAAATGTTCCCAGACACAGGCAATTCTCAGAACCCACTAGACAAAGTTTCCAGACAGAAAAGAGGAGAGGGTATATCATTAGCAGAACACTCCATAGAGACATGAGCCTTGCTTTGAGCTTGGATCAAAGCTACATTACCAACCTACCAATTCATAAACTGTACTGCTCTTACTCCAAGTCAATTTCTTAAGAGACTAAAAAGTCTCTATTACTGTAGCCATTTTGGGTCAAAGCAAAGGCCCATCTATTCCACTGTCTGCCTTCAACGGTAGACCTAACTCCATGACTCAGCAAAAGATTAAAAGAATAAGGTAAACACAAAGTTTTTCCACTAAGTACTCTCTAGCCCATGATCAATTAGCCTGACAATTGTAAGCTGCCAATTAGTGAAGCTATGAAAAGAACAGAATTACTGGAACACCAGTACATGTAATGTCATAGGGGGAAAAAACCCACTTGACCATCCACTGACCCAACAATTCCCTGGCAGACTTCCTTTTCACTACGTATTTGAACAGATTTCAGATATTCTAGTTATTATGGTGTTTGTTAATTGTCCCCCATACTCCTTCAGCCAGCCTTATAGTGTTTGCATATTTAACTTTCCAGAGTTTATAATCCTTTTGGTTTTCTTCACCTGGACACCATTTCTGCTTTTTTGCAGGATGCCTTCTTGCTCCTGCAATCTCACCCTGCCAATGCTGGCTTATTTTCACTCTCTCTCAAGTTTTTCTTGATACAGTTATTTTCTCTCCACTTCTCATATGATTTATAGCAATAGCCACACACCCTGCAAAGGTTAGGTCTTCTGTCTGTCTTACTTTCAGAAAGCTTTCTGATCTGCGCTTGGTTTCCATTTTGAAGCTAAGAGAGGCAGTGTTGGAGAACTCTGGTTTGTCTTACACCTGAAAGAATTCTGAGTCTAAGCACATTAAGATCCTCATTTCAGTGGAGCTCTTCAGCTGTTACTCTCTACATCAGATCCTGTAAATCACTCAGAATTAAAGTCAAGCATTGCCCTCATGGGCTCCAGAACCTGCTGCTCCACAAACCAGCCACCGACACATCTAAAAATGTACTTATCAAGTCTGGATGCCATTTCTGCCTCTTCTAGACTGCATCACTGAAGTGATCCATACCTACTTACTTCCTTCCTCTACTAAGCGCATTGTGTCACCATAATGGTCCACTGGTCAGCTAAGCAGAAGCAATATTCTATATTCTTCCTACTTAAGTTTGGGACTTCCACTGATGTGAAGTCTGGATTGCTCCTTAGAGAAATTACCTTGCGAAGCCATTCAGCTCCAAAGTGTCTTTAATATATACAGAACTACTATCTATCTGCAAAGCTCACCACATCCTTCCTGAATAGACGATATCATGGGAAAGTCCCATTGATCATCATCTTTCCAAGTTTATGACATCTGTGCTGTTAGAATCTCCATAAACAATTAGACATACCAGTTCCCCCATGTTATTTCTTAGACATCAAGCATTCCCACAGAAGAGTATCTTGTTTAAACAATCTATCAGTTCTGTCTGTTCCCTGTTTCCCCTTCAACTGGGTTTGACCTTAACACCAGCGGAAGGGCTGTGAACCAACAGAACTCAAGGCATGATATGGCAGCGTGGCTGTTGGCAGAGGATTATCAGTAGTAGGCCCTTGACTTGAATTAATTTTCCTTTGAGTGTGAGGAGCTTGATTTTGTCGCTTCCAAAAGGCATGCTGCACAGTCCATCTATTTACTCAGGCATTTCCTGAGTGATCTATACTGCAGAATGGCCTTTTGTTTCTCTCTTTTTCTGGACAGGGTTATTTTTAAGTAGTCACCACCTCCATCCCCACAACCCCTAAGGACATCAGCTGGCCAGCACCAGCTTCAACACTTCACAGAGAAAGAGCCTTGGTTTTTCAGTGAGTAAAACCTGGATCTTAGCAATCAAGGAAAAATTTCTTAGGAAGGTCACAACTCTTAGAAGAATATCTGTTTGTGTTTAAAGTAGAACAGGATATTTAAAACCAAAACAGCTAGGAAATTATGATCTTTGGAGTGCCACAGTACATTACACGGACTTGATTTTTCATCTATATTTTACAATGGTATATCTCAATTTAAGTGCTTTGGCAGTAAATTAACACAAAACTGGAACAACAGTGCCAATTCTGATCAAGAAGAATTTTCTCCTTGGTTACCCAAGTGTAATTCAAATAAAAAAGTGTAATTGTTATAAGAAACAACATAATTTTTAAAGCTATTCTGTAGTTTATAAACTGTTTCTACAGAAGATAAAGGTCAGTCTAGATGTAGGTGACCTAAGAGTCAAAGTTCTCTCAATTTTTTTGTATAAATTCCAACTGGCTTATTTGGTAACATTAGCATTAGGTCTCAAACTGATTTCTGGATTTCCTTACTGGGGCTCCTTCTCAGTCCTGAAGCAAAGTGTAGATTATACAATATAGTAGTTTGTCTAGGTTTCAGTTCTAGTTAGCTTTTGTATCTTCTGTTGCACGCAGGGATTCCAGTACTGAACTAAATATACAGTTTCTGCTTTCTCTAATGCCATTTTAAACGGATAATTTTCAAAGGTCCTGGATGTGAATTATATCTTTTAGGGGGAAGGGAGACGTAAGAGGGTTTTGTAGTCTCAGTAATGCAGTGCAGCATCTGCAAAAAAAAAATGCTAAAAAGCAAGGAAGATTCAAATTCCATTTTTGTCTCTTATCTAAAAATCTATGACATGAGAGCAACAAGCGGGGTTAGCAGAGAAATGGTGCTGCGTGAAACAAACCTCCCTGCCCTTTAGTCCTTGAGCAGATGATAGAGAGGGGCAGAAAGGAACCCCTCACGCCCCTGGCTCAGCGTGCTCAGAGCTGTGCTGAGCGCTGCACACCACTGCAGCCTGGAAGCCTGAGCTGCCTTTTTTTTTTTTTTTTTTTTATTATTCCCTCTAAAAAGTTTTCAGGAAGTCTGGGGGAGGGGCAATGCCGTTTCTTTTTTGTTATAATGGGCCCCTTTGTGGAGATGGAAGAGATCTGTGTGCCTGTGGTGCGCACGCTTCCCAGTGATTCCCAGAGTAACTTCCCAGGGCTCCTAAAAAGCGCAGGGCCCCTGCGGTGCGGGGAGAAGGGGAGGGGGCTGCTCCAGGATGGAGCTGATGGTACTGCTCAATGCTCTGGTTACTCGCTTGCTCTTTATGTTACACTCTGTCATCGGGGTCTGGAGAGTGACTGCAGTGAAGAAAGAACCCAAGTACTGGCTGCTGGCACTGCTCAATCTTCTTCTGTGCCTGGAGACAGGGCTTACCCTCAAGTTTAAGCAAGGCAGAGGCTACAAATGGTGAGCATATCCCGCCGGCTCTGACGAGCCCCTCTTGCTTCTTTGCATGTACTACGCTGCAGACGCGAGGCTGATTTTGAGCGGCTGCAGCCCAAGAGCGGTGCTGCCCTTGCTTTGCTTCTGCCAGGCTTTCAGGGGGTTGCATTTTCTCCCCTGCTACACCTGGGGATGTGTGTGTGTGGTGAGGGGGAGGAAGCTGGTTAAGTCCTGGCTAGTCCATTGCCAAAGCCAGAGGGCTTCCAGGTGGGGAAGTTTTGCTGCAAACTACTTGGGAACCACTCTCTGTATAGCGCTGTGCGTGTATCCATGCTAACAACTGAAAAATGTGGGAAACGTAGCTACAGAAGAAGTACACCTCCTTCCCTGGGGCTGCATTCCCTATACCTGCTACTTCTGACAGTGCTACCAGCAGACGAATGCATGAATCAAAACTCAGAGAGAAAAGATGAGCACCAACTACTCTTGCAGTACAGCAAGAGTGGCCTGATTGTTTGGATTTGAGAAGCTATTCCAGAGGGGAAGTTTCACGCATGAAAGGGTGCCTGAGAAATGAACAAAAAAAGTTAGTCATATCAGTGTTTGCCTAAGCACATGGGCTTTTACATGCGTTTAAAGAACTGCTGCAGTCATCTACAGCTCATAAGCACTCAGCCAAAACAAACACTCTGTAGAAGGGAAGTGGTCATGTAACTAATTGTCAAGATTTCACTAGGACCTATATTTAAAACCTGAAACTGCAGACAGGCCCTGACACAAACCTAGGACCATAAAAAAAAAAAAAAAAAAAAAAGAAGAATTATTAATAAAAAAGGCACAGAGTATTCCAATGATCTTAAATTTCTGCCCATTGCAACCTGTCAAACTCATTTTAACAAGCAGTGTTGTGTGACACTTTATACAAGTGTTCCATGCTTTAAATCTGAATGTAATAAAATCTGTGACAAAGTCTGGGACACAGGAAAATTTAACAATGGCAGAGCTCCAAATGTACAGTTATGAGACAGAGGCAGATTGAGCAGATCCGATTCGCTAGAGAGGAGACAGCAGCAGAGTTTTCATGAAGGAACTTTTGCTATGGCAGCTTTTGGAAGTTCCAAAGCAACATAGCTATGGAAAGCAAGATCCATTTTAGATGATGAATACATGTGCTGTAAGGGCTAAATTTAGCTAGAAGGAAATTTTGAAAGTAGATGTGTTCCAACACTTTAAGCCACATGGTAAAATATGTTCATAGGTAAGAACTGTAGACAAACGGACAGCATCTCTTTCCATTACGATAACTCTGCTCCAGTGGAATACACTCACATTCAGAACAGGCAGTAACACTTGCATTTTTAGAGAACACCCCCATAGACAGTCACTGATCCAAGCAATGGGCAGACTGTGCCACAGGACTCTCCTGTTTCCAGGAGCCTCATATTCTCTCCATTCATTATTGACAAAACACTCACTACACCAGCACAAGAATTTAAATGGCACATGTGGAGAAAACAGTATTACTGTGGGTCTGGCCACTTAATACTTCCTCTAGATGGCTCCTTCTGAAATAAAGGCAGAGTTAAAGCCCCTGTAGTCTCTTGGCCGGGTGTGTTATCATTAGCTCAGTGTTGCTAACCTGCCAGCTGGATAGATTTTTCATGTGCTATATGAAAATACTAAAAATATTAAAAAAAAAAATCTATAGGAAATACTGCAAAGTGTGTTATTTCTGCCATTTGGATGAGGTGTGTTCTCTCAAAAAAACTCTGAACCAAACAAACAACAAAACAACCCCCCCCCAAAAACCCAACAAAAACAAACCCACCAAAAAATGCAACAACAAAAAACAACCCAAAACCCAAACAAAACAAGAAACCCAGCCCCATCCTAGACTAAAACCTCACAAAATCACTTTTTTAAAACAGAAAGCAAAAAATCCCACTGCCAAAACCGACAGCACAACCTCACCCTCAAAAATAATCTGAAACCCCCACCAAAAAAAGCCCCAAACACACACACACAAAACCCCAATCCCCTACCCCCCCCCCCGCCCAAATCCAGTCCAGAACTATTTTAGAGGGAATTGTTTGAAATATTTCAGAGCCACGCAGCAACCCAGTAATTTTCCCAAGCAGCAGTTTTGTTTTGTTTCTTTTTCTTTTCCTTGATACTGAATCTCCACTGGAAAAGTCAGGGTTACAGAAATAAAGGTACATTCAGGGTAGGAACAAACAATAAATGCAACAACATTTGACCAAACCATTGCTGTGGTTACATACTTGTAAGCAATTTAAACTCACTGCAGTGTGTGCCAATGACAGGATAGAAGCAAGCAAGCAAGTATCCTGAGTCTGACTCCACTGCTCTGTCCTGGGCCATTACATACATGTGATACAAAGGCTGCTGTGCACCTCAACAGCATTGCAGTTATGCTCACTGCACACTATAGCAGAACTAGATGGAACATGAGTGGCATTAGACCTCATTCCCACTCTGAGAGGATGGGAATTTAAAAAAAAAAAAAAAGAAAAGAGAAAAATCAACAAAAATCAACAGCCCAAAATCCCCCGTTCTGTGTTTAGTGGGAAAACATCCGTAACCCTCACAAAAGTCAGTGCTTGCAGAAGGAGTAGTGGAACCTCTCTACCGCTTCCAAGTAAACTCACCTGAAGAAGCTGAATAAAGCTTCACCATCACAGGTTGCATAGAAGACTGTGAGGGAGAAAAGAACTAGAGACAGAAATCCTACAGAATTATGCAATTGCCAGCAAAAACGGGGAAACAAGGCCAAGACCCATCTTCATAAACACTTCTAGCCTGCACTGAAAGACCTGCGGAAGAAATTACTGTTTTAGGCAAACTGATGCTATTTCTACCTTCACTGTGTCAGTGCACAGGGTTCTGATCAACAGCCTTTATCCCCGCATCGCTCAGTGAAGGGACTCAATGTATTAATTCACCTTTCGTGAAACCAGAAAAAGCATGTTAGCTAGAGGGTTTTTTTAATTTTAAGTACAGAGAATGCTGTGATGGAAATACAAGCAGCAAAGTGTCTTTGGTTATTCTTAACAAGAGGTCTTAAACTTCCATGTGTGATCTTAGATGGATGTACAATAAACCTGTGATTCATAATACTGATAGCATGAAGAATTTGGGAAGAATATCAACTCTTATTTGCAGTTATCCTATTTCTTAATAAACCATACGGTAGGAGGCACAAGATACTTCTCAATGCAGATAATGATAGGTATATGATATTTACAATGTGATATAATACCAAGCTATCTTCTATTTTCTTCCACAGGTTTTCACCAGCAATATTTTTATACCTGATTTGCACAGTACCATCACTGTGGCTACTAGAAATTCATCATGGGACTCAGGTATCTGTTATGAGAAAAGATGGACTGATCTGAAATTGGGCTGGATTTGGGCATACAGATAGAAATCTGCCAGGTCTCTATTTTATACTGGTGGGTCTCCCAACCCAGCTACAGCTACACTATGGCTACTGCGCATTCCTAGCTAAAATTGAGACCATTTATTTGCATTTGTCTGGGGAACAAAGGACTAGAAGTTTGAAAGACAGCCTTTCACCCCCAGTTTACCAGGCTGAATCTTCATGAGAATGGTGAAAGAATTTAATTGCTTTAGAGGCCTATGTAAAATAAAGTACGAGTTTCACAGCCCTTACAGGCAGATGTCACAAATCCAAGCAAGCCAAAATTGAGACAGGTATCACTGAAAGAGGTCTTAAACTCAAATTGCCTCATGTTTCCCTGAACCTAGGAGAATACTTGCAGATTAGTATCACAGATAGCTGGCATGGTAATTTGTCTGTCAGTGTTTACATCCTTTCTTTGTGCTGTATAGTAATCTAAGATGGGGTGTCTGGATTTGAATTCAGGACTAAAACACATGGTAAAATTATTAAGACAATTGTTCTTTTGACAGATGGAGCCACTTAGGGCCAGAACAGAGCCAGTTTAGCTCAGCAGCTCATGTTGCATGAAACACCTCCTCATAGGCTGCTTTCAAGCCCCTGTAGCACTTCCATGTAGTGAGAAGGGAATTCTGTCTCTCCCAGAATTTGCACATATGCAGTACCTTACATCCACAACAGAAAAGGGCCTGAGAGAAACAAGAGCAAAAATAACAGGAAAAAAAATACGTAAATTAGACTAAGAAGACCTAGTGCTTCATTTTCTCTTTGGAAACATTGTTACAACCCACAGAAGCATAATCAAATATTCAAAATTGTGTTTACACTGAAAATGCCTGAGGCTTTTTCTAAGTACAGCAGCAGGAATTTGTCTTCTTGTTTTGCCAGATCTCCTTAAACAGTCACAGACAGGTAATGTGGATATTGAGAACATTTGTCATAGTTAAATCTCATCCAAGAAACAGGCTAATTCTGTAGTCAAAGGCAGCAGTTTATTTCCCAAAATGATGTTAGAACATGGCATACTTTGTTCTTATTGATATACTGCTACTGTGAATTAAAGAGGGAGTATATCAAGTTAACAGCTTAGTTTATACCTGGAGAGACAGGATAGAGAGTTCTGGAAATACAGAGTATAACAGATTCAAAAACAGTACTTCCAGAAGGGCAGCAGCCCTCCTAATAATCTCAAACACAGCACCCAGACTAGTACTATTCCTGATACTAATGTATTGCTGGGAATTTCCTTATCAAAATACTAACAGAACAGGTGATTATGCAGTTGCTAAATTCACACGTTTAATGTATGTACTATGAAAACAGTCGGTGGTCTTTAAGACAGTAGAACTTTGATCTCATGTTGGATCTTTAACAGAAAAGGTCAGCTGCTTAGGTTGGTGCTGTTACTTGAGGTCTGTGCTAATATGCAGCCTCTCTTCCTGAGGACAGAGGCAATTCTGCCCGAGTACTGCAGAACTGGACATAAGTAATACTGTTCATATACCAACAGTGAAATACTGTCTGCATAGAAACTACTGGTTTGCAGTAAAGTATTTGGGGATGAAATACATGTTTGGGAGAGACCATGAAGTAAATGAACTATACTGAGTGAAAAAGTTGCTGTCTGCAGAATAGTGGCAAGAAAATTAAAACCATCTGATCCATTAAAAAAAAAAACAAAATTATTAAGAAAGTATGAGATCTCAGATAAACAAATTCCTGTTACCTTTTCAACTCTGTCATATCGCTGTGACAGAAAGTTATAACTGACCACCTTTTGCAGGTCTTACCTGACTACCTGTGCTGTAGTGAGCATAGGCTTCCCAGTCAATAAGAAGATAGATACTTGGCAAAGATTATAAAGTACCTTAACTTAAATATTCATTACTTCCTTAAAATGTCAGTGCCCTTTCCCTAAGCCTCATTCTGAGGTGAGATTCTCCTATCAGCTAAAATTCTAGTATATCACTCTCCTAGAAGAGATCTTACATCTTTCACCTTTTCTCTTCCCTCCCATACCTATTATTTTCCTCAATTTGGAAATCAGCTTAAGCAGTCTTTTCCTGCTGTTTTACTTTTCAGCTGTCCTATACCACCAAAATGAAGCAGTCACCGTTGCTTTGAATTTCTGACATCACACATGTTGCCATAGTGATGGCCACTCTGTTTCCAGCCAGTCACAGAGAAGGAGAGGGGTACCTGTTGCTTGGCAGAGGGCCTGCTTCAGGGAAGGGCTAGCTTCTCCCTTGCCAAGCCATACATTAACAGGATTGAGTGTACTCTGCCTATGTATTCAAGTACCAGTTTCACTATTTCAATGCTGGACCCATTGTGAAAAGTTTTCGCTAACCTCGGTTATATTTGTGAATGAGGGATTGTGAATAACACGCAAACAGAAATTTGCTGAATGAGCTCAGTTTCAGGTGTACCCCATGCACTGACAGCAAGCTCTTTGCAGGCCATATATTAGGACAACATTATGTCATGCAACAGAATTTCTGGTTTGATTAGGTATTTTATAAATCAGACAAATGTAAGCTACATGTCAAAAGAAAAAATGAAGTAAACCAAGCTAGAGTTTATGCAAAATGTGTACCATTTCTTCCTGTTTAATTTTTGCATGGTTAAAAGACTTAGGCATTTTTGTTTAGCTATACACACAGTCTTGATACCCAGGAGTAACCTAGGTAAACCACATTTATCAGCTGCCTGTGAAATTTAGCATTTTTCCTTGCCACATTCCCATTAAGTCACTGCACATATGTAATTGGCTAGGCAAATATGCCTGGCACCAGCAGTCCTATTTATATGCATATACACAATGAAAATAAAGGCTCTTCTCCAAACTTCCAAGTGAATCACCACCACGACCACCACTTAATAAATATTCACAGAGAAACAAACCAAAAAAGATATGAACATACTTAAATTAAAAATCAGGAGCCTACTTAAATGACTGGCTTTGCAGATGCGGTTTTCCATTTCCTGTCTACATGCAGTTGAGAAGAGATATGGACCCGGCCCTGAGGAGTGCCGTTTGGTCAGAGTTCATGGAGCCTTGCACTGAAATAGTAACCCTGCCCCCCTCCCTGCTCAGCTTGAGTAGTTGCAAAAGTTACGTGTCAGGAACCTGCAAAAGGCACTGATGAAGTGAATTAAGAAATATTCTCCACACCTTTGTGCCACTAGGATGGAAGGGGGTGGAAAAAAAAAAAAGAAAAGGGAAAAACTAAACAACTGAAAGAGCCCCCTGCTCCCTTGCAAGCCTCATGTACACTGTGGCATGCTGCTTTCCTCCACCTCTGTCCAGTGCTGCAGGTTGGTGAGTCCGGCAGCTCCTCTGCCTTTTGCAGAGGTTATACAGACCAACTGTGAGAGCTGTCTGCTCTCTGTTGTTGTCACAGGAGAGCCATGGCATCTCCTAAGCAGCAAGCATGCACCTTGGAACCCACACAGTAAAACTGCTACAGGCTCCTATTTCACTCCTCTTTCAGACTCCCAATTTACTTGTTGGGAATTCTCACAGTGTCTGAGAAGGGATGTTCACCATCATACACATACAGCACACAGCTTGCCCTACATGGCTCCTGCCTCAAATTTGGCAGATTCATCCCTGAGAAATGGGGCTTTAAAAAACGAACAAGAAATCTCCAAACTCTAATGTGACATTTAATGCAAGTTCATGGCTCACCTCCTCTTACCTCTGCCAGACCAGGCAGGGGAGCAGAGGAGTGAGCTCAAATGCAGACCAAAGGCTGTCAAAGTAAATTAGACTTCCTCTTCCAGCACAAGTTAATAACTCATTTGCTCTACCCAGACAATTTGTGTCAAGGTAGATTTTAACTTCGTAGTATTCTGGGGTGGTTATGCCAGTTACGCAGTTTATGGTTTCCTCAGCCAACTGTGTCGCACTGCCTGTGGGAGTTACTCAGAAAGGCTGACTTTGACCTCAGAGGCTGGCCTCCATAGGCTTTAGAATTTTCTACAGGCAGCAGGTAAAGCTATTCCTCCAGAGCACCAGTTAAATTTTGTTTCTGAAACATCCTCTGAACAAGCTATTCTGTCTCTCTCCTTTGGTTAAGGGGCTAACCAAGTGAGATAAGCCCTGCAAGGCTCTAGCCCTGCAGAGTAGCAGCCCCTCCATCTCACTTTTTCCATGTCCAGAACTTCAGACTTGCCTCTTCCACATGGAAATATCATCATCCTTACATTCATATGAGGATCTTTCAAAGCTTTCACACCCACAATCCAAAGGTGGCAAGCATTCCATTTAAGAGCCTTTATCTCCAATTACAAAAGCAAAAAAGCCTGACTTTTTTTTCCCACCAGATTTTTCAGACCATGGGAATTTGCTCCATTTATTTATGACAAGAAGCAGCATTTACCCAGATACTGAGCAACATTATCAGGGACCAAATAAAGCATCAAAAGTAGAATCTGAAATTTGCTAGAATGTGACATTTGCTGGAAAATGTTGCCTTTATATTGGCAGGCATTTTGCTGAACAGAGCTACTCAGTATGCATTAGAACACATTCTGATTGTTGCATAAAATCACTCTCCATGCAATAAAATGGTGGGGGGCCCAGTGGAGAAATGCAAATCATGTGTTCTCTGGCACAAATAGGAAAGGATAAAAGTCTTTAATAACAGCATGGTTTGATTTTCTAATTATCCCTTTTTATTACAATGCAAAGACATGTTAAGGAATTGCTATGAAGATAGAATTTTAGAACCATACCCAAGTTGCTCCAGGGCCAACCTTGTGTGTGAACTAAGAAGGGCAGTGCAGTGCAACAGACCTACTGGTTTACTGCAGTTGATGTAACAGTATGTTTTAGCCAACATTCTATTTCCCAGAGCACTGGCTACCTGGAGAAAGCAAAAATACTTGTTTTTTTCTCTACTCTACAGGGGTAGGCAACAACACAGATCCATTTTTCTTAATTATTCCTGTATCTCACCTCTCACATCATGAACCTCCTTGCAGAATAAGGCTCAGCTTATTTTGGGGGGGGAGGGGGGTGTGGAGGAGGGGAGGTGGGTTTGGGGTGGAAGTGGCAGTGCATGGGTATGTGTAGGAGGGCAGAGAATACAATCCAAATATCCCACCCCTACTCTGTTCATTGCAGCCTAGATATATATTAGATATATTCAAGATGTATACTAGTTATATACTAGACAGATTCAAGCCTGAATATAGAGACTGGCCGAGACCATAAACCAGCAGACTGACCATGACCAATTCTTACCCTATGTCAGTTTTTTTTATCTAGACAGAAACTATGTAGGAAACTCTGCAGCCTGCTTAGGAGAGCTGCAGGCAGATCGCATTCAAAGAATGCCATTTTAACAGTACAGAGATGTCACCCACTCCATCAGTCCTTGAATTTACATCCTCTTCTGCAGTAAAATCCTATACTTTCTCAGGGACCTACCAAAACATCTCTCCTGTCCTCATGAGAGGAATCCCTCCCTTCTGAACAAGAGGGGAATTATATTCAGGGTGAGCATCTACATTTGCAAACAGTGGCCAAATTTCACAAATGAACCTTCTACAGTTCAGCAAAACAGGACTCTCTCAGCCACAGACTGAATCTGCTCCCTGTATGGGATGTTTATGCATGTGTGATGTTTTTATTCACAACAGTACTGTGGTAATGAGCCTGGAGCAGTTCAGGTGAATATCAGCAACCAAGACTTCAATCAATCCAGAGACAGCAGTCACGGAAGTGAGGGAACAGATCACCACATCATTCAAACGGTGGGACACCTTTTCCTATTCCTAGTTAAGAGCAATTAGAGATGACTTGTGTTTATTTGAGCAGTCTCCTCATGCAGTGAAGAACACTAAAAAACAAGAAAAAGAAAGAATAGTTTCAGAAAACCATATTGTGAAAATAATGTACAGTGTGCTTCATGCTAACTACTGTTTGTAGAGCTAGTCTCTGTGTGAAGTGGTGACTCTCCTATCATTATGTTCCAAATCTCAGTAATTTTAAAATTTAGAAATTTAAAAAGTGTCTGGATCATGGTTCTGCAAAGGGTAATGCTCAGGTGGCTGAAAAATGAGAACAGAAAGAGCAGTACTCAGAGAAGACTTGCTATTCATTACCCAAAGTTTGTATTAATAGGTCTTTTTCAAATTACGCCTGCCACATAAAAATTATTTGCTCTAATACAATGTGAAGGAGAACAAAAGCGGGCTTAAGGGTGAATACAGTCTCTGAAGGTATCTATAATGTCAGTCTCCTGAAGATATCTTCTTATTGTCTTTTAAACAGGCTAAAGTCTTTGTGAATCAGCTCTCCACAATCTGTGAGACTGTATGGACACTGGCCCTACACCAGACTTTTCTACTGCTGCTAGTAGTTGGGAGATGGCTTCTCCCTATTGGAGTTGAAATCACCCGGGATCAATTGTCTCAGCTGCTTCTCATGTTTGTGGGAACAGCAGCAGATATACTTGAATTTGCTAGTGAAACTTTGGACATCGAAGACGTTCGGTAAGGATTATTTGCTGACATTAATAATTTGTTTATTGCAAGATATTTGTTTTGTATAAAGATCTGTTTGTGCACTCTTCAGTGTTCAGACTGGTTCAGCTGTTATTTCCCACAGAAAACAGAAGGCTACATTCAAGGCTGTGTTTTCCTGCTCTCACCTTTCCCTCTGTAAAGCACGTAACAGTCCTAAGAGCTTTGTTAGGGATTATACTTCTGTTGCCAGCAGAGAAACATATCATCCATCACAATAAAAAGGTACAAAGAGCCAAACAACTAGCATAACTCCCATGCAATGACAGTTCTTGCAGCTACAGGAGCTGAAACACTGGATACACAGTAAGCCTCTTACAGGTTAAAGAATTGTTTTAGACTAGCAAGGAAGCAACTAGATTTTGCTTAGTGATGCATTATCCAAGTTACTTCTTTGATTATCTCATTTGTACTTTCTTCATGATAGAATGACAAAGTGTTCAAAGATAAAGAAGAAAGGGAATGGCATAGTCTGGTGTGAATTTTCAACACTGTGATCTCCCCCAGAGGAAGTAAGCTCATCTCCCTCTTGCAGCACTGAGAGATGAGCTATGAACATTTATAAAGAAAAAGAATCACAGAAGAGTTTCATCCTCTTTTACATATGTACTATTATATATATTTTTTTTATATATCAAATAAAAGGTTTTAAAGCAGGAAAAGAGGTCCTTCCACTTGGCAGAGAAGCTTCAGGCTTGCAAGGAATGTGTAATAACTACAAGGGAAGAGATAGCCAGAGATTCTATTTCCATATGCTTATCATTATAATCTTAGCATCAGCTATTTAATGTAATCACACAACTGGAACATGTAGCCTGAACAGCAAAAAATTCCTTGCCAAAAAGTACCTCTGTTTTCCTTAGTCTTACCGGTAATCAATTGCTGTTTTGCTCAACTAACCTTTGAGTGATATTCCAAATACTACAGCAAACATTTTTGTTATCGCATAAGAAAACTTCATCTTCACTGTTATCACTTCTTTCCTCTCCCATAGGAAGAATTATGCTCTCATAAATGCAATTCTTGCTGTATGGACGTGGAGTATGTTACAGTTTCCACTTGATCTTGCAGGTTAGTTCTTGCACATAGACAAGAAAAGAGAACAAATGCTTTAGGTTTTCGCTGGCATGTCTTGTGGCTGTACACATGCTACAGGCTATACCAAGGACTTCTGGTGGAGAGCAATTTATATGACAATGATGGCTTTTGAAGTATGTCCATTGTGGTTTCATTGCAGGAAACACTTGTTTCTGGCTAACCTCTGATCTCCCTGATAAAACTCTCTACTTTCAGAAAAAAATGGATTGCAATATTATATTAAGCATCTGCTCCAATTGCCTGTTACTGCCTTAAACTTCTTCGTGCAAGCTCTTGAGTTAGTCTATTATAGTCTAGTCTATTATAGCTCAAATCTGGGTAGGTTACTAGACCCTTTGGAGATACAGGCAATTGTTAACTACAGGGAACAGCACAGCCAAGAAAACAGATGTTATCAAAGGAGAAACTACTTATTCACAGGGAAAATAAAGGACTATATAATGTTGGTACTGTACACTCTTTATCTTAAAAGGCCCAGCATTCAGCCAGTTTGAGTTTGTATTTGTCCCTAGGCAGAGAAGGCTTCCCTATATCCAAGAAGAATCATGAAAGTTGCCTCAATCATCATCTCTTCCAACCACTTTACCCTCCAATCACTACAAGTTTGCAACTTAACTCTACCAGTCCAAAGATACATTATCCTCACTAGCATCATATATATAAAATTGCACACTAGGCTGACACACTGACCAGAATAATAAATGAATAAAATAATAATGAAATAATTATTCCAGGAATTTTTCATTAGCCTTTTCTTCATGGACAGCACTAGGTTTTGTTTTCAACACGGGAGTTCCAAAAATATTTCAGCATTTCAGCTCAGCTGCTCACCTCCCAGAAAAAAAAATAATGATGCAACCGCATTTCAGATATATCACAGCTAAAATTCCTGTTACTAGAGAATATATTCTGTTAAAGACATGTAAAACTTAGGTTTAGAAAAGTTCATATACGTCACCACTACACAAATAAATTCAAACAGTGTTTAAGCAAGTTTAGCATTAATTTAAGTGAAGTAACCTCTTGTACTGTGCATTTTTTTTTCCTCTGGCTATTGCTTTTGTGCTTGATATACGAGTTAAAATCAAATTATAGGACACATGTTGCCCTGATATTTACTATGGTGTCAGTTTATCTTGGGTAGCTTATACAGTTGTACAGATAGTACTTTTTATTCAAGTGTCAGAATGTTTACTCACAACATGATGTAAAATAGAAGGTTTTAGGCACTGACTGATTAGGCAGTGCAGTTAGGACTATTAAACAGCAGTGGTGCAAAAACATTAAAAAATTAGCTGCTGCTGAAGCTTTGCCTAATGGATTCAGAAAATTTCTACATTCTACAGCTAGTTTTCCACTCAAGGCTCATCTTCTTCCCTCTTCCCTTCCCCCCCTCCCCCCCCCTGCAGTGTTCACTCAAACAATAGAATTGTTTTGTTGAGCTGAAATATTTGGCAGTTGTTACTGCATCACAAGTAGCTATGACTTTTAAACTAATGAAAACCCACTGCCTGAGACACATTCGTTAAGATACATGCATTTTCATAAGAGGCAGCCGTACTCACCACACACACACTCTTCTGATGATCATTCTCTAGACACCATGTCACAAAGAGCATTCTAGCCCGCCACCATTTTTATAGTCAAGGGGAACACATTTATGCAAGTTCCAACTGTTGTATGCAATTTCACACCCAGAAGGCTAAGAATGAGTAACTGTGGCTCAATTCTTCTATGGCAAGCAGTGACTACAGTTTCTTCGTATCCATAATACTTGATATTACCCTGCACTGGCATGACTTATTCTTACTCTGACACATGAAAAAGGCAATGGCTATCTAGTGACTTTGAAAACCAAGGTCTTAAACAACCTGGAACAAATTGAAGTTCTGTAGCTCAGCCTACTCCAATTCAGCATGGTACTTTGTTGGTTTTTTTTTCTTAAAGATATATGTTAGCCTAATACTTTGATTTAACAGAAAAATGCTTGGGAAAGTTGTTACAGAATGATTAGGTAATCTACTTTTGTTTAATGTTTTAAAGTATATACATGCTGATAGCTTAGTGGGATAGAAAAGGGGAAGCGGGTTTGGTCCTGTCTGGCAGACCACGTAAGTATCTGCTTAAGATAAGCTTAGTGTGTTTTGCTGAAACAGATTCCAGAAATTGGATATGCTTTCTGTTGAATTGTTCGTAGTTGAATGCATTTACTTCCCTTTAGGCCAACCCTGGCTCAATTTTAAAGACTTGTTTTAACATAACTGTGTTTTATTTCCAGTACAGCATATCGGCTGCAAACCAACTACATCTACTAGGCGGATCCCCAGCCTGCTGCTGTGCAGGTACAGTGCAGAACTGTGGAACATTGGGGTCAGCCTTTTCATACAGGATGGTCCCTTCTTCATTGTACGTTCAATCCTGATGGGCCACTTCAGAATATTCAATCAGATGCTGGTGTTTTTTACAGCTAAGAATATCTTAGTTGTGACTCTACAATTGTATCGTTTGGCAGTGATAACATTAGACTTCCGCGCTACCATTCTGCAGAAGAGCAGAAAAGGAGAAGTCAGCTGTTGCCCATGCGAGCCTTATAAAACTAGTACTCATGCTACCACTGACCAAGATACTGAAATGAAAGAGTTTGTTGCTGTTCCTCCAAAAGAGGAAACCCAAGCTCCATCAGAAGATAAGTAGCACAGTTATTGACTTGAAAGAGGTTGCATTTCCCACAGCTTCTTCAGAAGGGCTTAGCCTATTTCTGTGAACAAATACGCCTTCAGTGCATAAGTAATCTCTTCCACTAAGAGATTAATAATTTCTTCTAAATTGTAGGGGAAAATTCTGAAGCAAACTCATAGAAATGGGCCTCTTTTTTTCCCCTTTTTTTTAAAATCCATTTGCATGGTGAGTTTTGACTAGTTCCCTATTATATTATCCAGAGGTATTTTGTAGCCATAGTTTGTAGTAGCAAGAAAGGTCTGGCACACTAACAAAATCTGTTATTTTTGGTGGCACTGTGCTAACATATGTACTTGCATGTATTTGTATAGAGGGACAAGTCTATCCATTATGGGAAGCACAGAATCACTTAGCTCTGCTTGAATGGTCTGGCTATAACTAGAGTGTGATGAACAATATGTTCACCGTGTATGGGAGCAACTTCAGCAGCGACAACTGTGCAGACATGCAAGTGAAGGGAGATAACAGATTTTTACTGTTACTGTGACATCTAAACATTGCTCATTCAAGAAATTTAAGCAAATCTTCATCAAATGTTACCTCATCCTTGGCTGGATTCAATTAAGATCAATGCAGCACCATTACAGTGCATACACAGGACTCTTAGGACCTACATGGACTGAGTAACCCAAAACTTACAACTACAGAACACAAAAAAAAGCAAACCTACAGATCATTAGAAGACTACAGCATTTGTCTCAGGCATTTTCTAAAGAGGTACTTGCTTTCTGTTCCCAACAGTTAGAACACCCCCCCCCCCCCCAAAAAAAAAGAAAAAAATCAACACCCAAAATATTTGTCAAGACTTCCTCCCCAGTTCACTGTGCCTGCAGTTGAAACAAGTTTTTAAAATGTCTCAATTTCACATGATTTTTAAACGTGCCTGACTCGAGCATGCAATTTAACTAGAAAGAAAATGGCAGTGCTTAAGTTTGAAAAGACAAGCTAGACAAAAGGATTCAGGCTTGTGCTTCACATTCCTTGAAGCACCACAAGGTCCCATGATAAAACTTGAGAAACTGTCTGGTCTGTTGAATGTCAAGATCCATTTTTAAGAAATGGCTGATAATCACTGATTTACTACTTTCACATCTGCAGTGAACAACATAGGGACAAATTGATTTCTCCCAAGAACACACTTTAGAGCAGTGTAAGACCATTAACTTTGTTGAGCTTATCTTATAGAAGCTAAAAGTAAGATAAGTGATTTTTGAAAGTTTGCCTAAAAATACAGATTTCTGCATCCATTCTAAGAGCCATAAAAATATGACAAACATGAAGTGACCTAATTGAGATAACTTCCCTTATTAAAAAATCACAATTAAATCTTAGTTTCTAAAGCCTCGGCTATCTAAAAAGAGAATCTACTTTCAGGAATTACTAAAAGGGTTTCTGCCACCACTGCAGGAGTCATATGCTTATTTATCCATAGCCTGATAAGCAATCATATGTTTATTCTTTAAAAGATTAACATATTTAAAAATTCTATCCCCCAAACACATGAACTGTGTTCATACTTGTGAGCTGTTACTGTTCTATGCAGGATCTGGCACTTCCATTACAGAAGAAAATGCACAGACTAAACGAAGGAAGTCTTATATACATCATAGCCCATTTATAATTTAGTTATAATGTGCAACACCTCCTGCTTTCCTTATTTTGGGCCTTTTTCCAGTAGAATTTTACTAGATGGATTTAAGGTCCTTTCCAACCTTCACCATTCTATGATTCTGTGATCATTTGCCATGGCATTGTGAGGTAAACATACGGAGAGTTGAATGCGACTATATTTGGGATTTTAATTGAAGTATAGAGGTAAAAAAGCTACAGTGTTGCTGCTGCTGACCTGTGCTGTCTAAAACCTTTCACACTAGGGTGAATTTAGAATCACTTGATAGAACTGCAACACATTTTTTCCTTGTTCATGCAAGGCAGAACTACTCGCATTCGTTTTGAGTTTACCACTTGCTGATATAGTAATTATCCTGTTTAAAGGATCCTTTCTAATTAATTTGGAGTGTACTGAGCTTGCTAGAACATCATTTTAAATTCATCAGCACAAAAATTGCAGGATGTACTTCTTTAAACAACTGCCAACCAGGTTCAGCCTGCAGCAAATGCAGGATCCCCTGGGGTCAGCAATACAGACGCTACAGCAGGAATATTTTACAGAGAACTATATTTCCTGGTCTTCAGGCTGTTCCATTTTAAACAGCAGTAAAGCTTCTAATCAGATTTAGTGTGAGAGGAAAGTTCAGTGCTAGGTTGTTACTGCTAGATCCCATTCCTATTCACTCACAGACAAAATAAGCAGTGATTTGTATTTGGACTAGATTTGGACTTTCCTTTTCCTCCCCACTATCAGGGGTGATAAACAGATCGTTTAAAAACAAAAGAAAACCCTAACAGTCAAACAGAAGACTTAAATGTTAGGTAGTCTACCTCCCCACCTGTGTACAGAGGGAATCACACATGCCAGGCAGCAGCAGGAATGAGATATAGTTCCCTCTACTTAACTGAAAAGCCTGCACACAGCAATTAAAGAAGTCTGGTAGCTTGTATGTTTGGTCACATTGGCAAACCCCTGTCGCAAGCCCGCCTTACCTTTCTCTTGCAAATTTTTTGAGAGGGAGGACTAGAGCACTGTTGTTTCCCAGCAGGCTGAGTCAGCTGAATAAGCAGCTGGGTGTGAGGAGCCGTTGTCTCTTCCTGCAGCCTTTCAGAGCTTTGCACTAGGCAAGAGGTAGAGTAGATTTTCTTGAAGATTTGCCAGCACCTGTGGTGTATCTAAAGAACAACTGATGTCACGCTTGCTATTCAGGAAAAGCTGCAGTAAACTTTTAGACAGAGAAAATTCAAGCCTTCAAAATAGAAGGATTTCAGAGCATTATTTAACCATTATTTACTTGAGTCAGGAGAATTACATACTAAATCTGTTCTGCAAGTAGATATCTAGCCATTTACTGTTGTTTATGCTAGTTTTTCCTGCCTTGTCCTTTTAGATTATTCCATATTAAGCCTCATTAAATGTTTTACTACTTGTGTTTTCCTGTGCTAAAATGCATTCCTCCTTTTCTTTGGACGTCGGCTCAAATAAGACCATAGCCCTGAGCCTGAAAAAAAACCACCAAAAACAACAATCCAAAACAAACCAGCAATTATAAAATGCATTATTTTATTGCATTCCTCTTGGTATTTGTACTGTATTATATTCTCTGGGACCATGTGGAAATGGAAGAAAACGTGCAATTACTTTTAAAAAATTCCAACTGTATTTCGCAAATAAAAGGCAGTTACCTCAGGCATAGCTGCCAATTTATTATGTGAGAGCTGACTGTTATATGTTCCCATTAATTACATCTTCCACATGCTGCTTATCCTTTCCATCCTTGTAAGTTAATTACTTAGGCCAGATTCTAATGGCAGCCATTGCTTTGAAAACCCACAGCAACTGCAGTGAATTCTACTTCATTCTGGATAGGTTCATCTTTACTCACAACCTTTGTCTGCAAGTATGCCACTCACAGTGTTAATCCCAGAGAAGACGTGTTTAATATCTTCACACAGGATGCATTTAGATACCTATATACCCCTGGCAGTGCCTAATAGATACAGCTTTTATTTCTGTTAACAGCGTGTTAGATTGCTGATGGAAACAGTCTGCAGATGTCTATAAAACACTTATAGAAATACCTGAACATTACAAATACCTTAAAGATCAGAGCTGTAAATACTAAGCATACAATATTCTGAACAATACACTGACTGAAAAAAATAAAATGTATGAGTTCCATGGAATATATTCTTTCCATGCACATTTCCTCAGTTGCATGAGACCTATCCTCTCAAAACCAAAGTCTTTGATAAGAGCGTTGGAACAGAACACTAGCATCTAAACTGCACAAGCCTGCTTCTCCGGTTCTCTGTCAATGGAGAATAGGCAAGCCTTGAAAACAGCACATTGAATAGTCCTTGGCCCTCTTCGTTTTGGGTCCAAGTCTCCATCTTTTTCCATGCTGTTCTCTTACCTTCCTTGTGAAAGGAAGGAAAACAGAATATTCCTAATCTGTAACGGTGAGACAATGAAAGCGGTCATGATGGCGGAAGTAGTAGAGATGTTTGCCCAAGACTGGTCACTGCACCAGCAGGGAAATACAATGATTCAGACCCCTAATGAAATAGATATTAATGACTGAAAAAAATCACGTGAGCTGTGTTCTGAAAACCCTTCCTGGCCCTTCAGAGGCAGCATGAGAACAGTTATCATCAGCCAGCATTCCACTCCAGCAAGCTGCTAATTCAGGAATGACAGTGATTCTGAGTCTGTCTTTTGTAAAAAGCTCCACGCAAACTTAATTTGGGCTCGCTTGGGTCCCATGCTTTCCTTTCAGACTGCGTGGGTGGGAAAGTGACATAATACTAAAAAAAATATAAAAAAAAAAAAATCAATCAAAATTTAAAAAAAAATAAAAAAAAAAAACCACCACAAAAACCCAACAAACCAAACCAGAACTTAATGCATCAACATAAGCTCGTACCTCACCTGCTACATGCTGCTGTTCTTTCCTTGTTTACCTTTCCAGATGCTTTCTGGGCCCACCTCCCACATTTCAGTACATGGACAAGAGATGCTAAACACTGAACTTCCCACTGCTGCTGGGAGTCTTCACAAAAGCACAAAACCATTCAGGCCAACCAAAGATTAAGAGCCAAGCCTATTTCTTCCTGTTAAAGACGAAGGTATCTACAGCTGCCAGTTTCCTCCATTTGTTTGTAGATTACTACAGAGAGAAGATTGTTTTCCTGAGTAGTCTTTCTGTAAAGGACTAGCTTATTGAAACAGCAGCATCATTTCCTGTAGCCCTATGGATTAGTATCTGCTTCAAACAATCTTAAGGTCATACAAAGTTTGAAATGAGGCTGTCAAGCTGCAGGAAAAAGATACAGTTGTTGAAGGGTGGCGTAATGTAAAAGCGATGCCTTAACCCGGCATTTTTAATTCTCGGGGGTGGGAAAAGCCTCCAAGTTGAGTAAAGAAGGCCTGCATGGATGTCATTTGTAATAGCAGCTTGGAAGATGTGAACTAAAAAACCCCAATACTTTACTTTAAAATCTTCAGCCTCCTATACATCTAACTAACAGTATTCTGAAACAATCATACAGGATAGATGTAATCACAGCTAACACGCAGGCCTCACCAAAGACTCTAGAAGAGGTTTAGAGTGCAAGAAAAATAGTTGAGAGTTATTACTGAGAATCATCTAAGATGAAAGAAACCAATGCTTCATATTTGAAGAATGTGTTAGGCAGGATGCCAGGTAAAATTAAGTCCAAGTGCTTCACAATTTTAGATTCCTGATAGAAGTCACAAAAGCTTGTCTTTTACAACAAACTTGGTAGAAGCTTTGTTGGGGCATCTTTTAGGATTGCAGGAGACACTAATATGCTCAGCAACTGCAGTACATGAACCAAGACAGCTGTCAGAAGCTATAACCCACTGCAGGCCTAATCCTGCTTTCAGTAAGAATTCGCAATGCCACTGCTGAAGATCACTGCTATGTCTTTAGTATTACTAGAGAAACATAAAACCAGGATTCATTTTCTCAGGCAACCAATTCAAATATTTTTTGAAGAGATTTATCACAACTCCCAAACTAGAATTCTCTCTTTTACTCATTAGAGGTCAGCTCTTAAGCGGTAAGCCTTCTCCCTGAGGAAGAGCTCTTCCCCTCGCACTTTCTTCTTTCCTTCACCTTTTT